ATGCTAAAGGGACAGTTCTATCTTCAAGTTTGGGAAGAAGGTGAAATCTGGTGAATTCGGAGGATGTTCAAGTCGATCAAAGCCATTGCACTCATGGAGACTTGGAGACATTTAGCCTTGATATGCTAACGCAGAAAACCGAAGTCGTCACATTACCAGGTGCTGGAACAGGAATTGCCTTCTTTGGAGGAGACATTATAGGTTTCCACTGCTTTGCCGGTTGTTTAGTGTCTGGCTTATGGAGGTGAAACCAAGACCCATCCATGATTACAAGTTGCTAAGCAAGATCAGGTGGGTCTGCTTTGAAACGACGTAAACTATCACGAGAGATGATGAACCTGGAGAGTTTCTAATAAGGAGTCAGAAGCCTTGGAACCAGCGTGCTGAAACCTTTGTCATGCCCAGTTCATTCTTCAGAATGTTCTCAACTCTTTCATGATAGGTTCCTACTGTATTGGCTATGTGACGCGTCGATGATCATTCATAACCATAGTTGCAGCAGCTGAAGGGTTTCCTGATTTTGGATCATTCTCGAAGCACTCTCTTCCCCTTTTGTACTTCACTTCCCACATCTGAAGGATTGTGCGTCATCCGCTATAGTGGACACCGTGTCCGCATGGATGGCGGCTATCCTTTTCAGAGATACATTATGATAGCGCGGCAGCGAACGTTGTGAAGAGGGTGTATGTTAATGTTATGACGCATCCATCGCGGTGTCTTCCCATACCCAACGTTATATTTAAGAAACAAAGAATACTATGACACATACGCTTTCTTGTTAATATATTCCTTATGGTTGATTTATTTGTTCAGTTTACTGTAATACGTTTCGAATCATTTTTAACTGTCATATCACTGCTTCTTTGTCAGGCAGCCCGTCCTTAGTGTTATGTGTGTAATTACCGTGCAATATGGTTTATGCGAACCGTTAAAAGACCAGTTGTAAAATTTATATCTGTGTGTAAACTTTGTTTAAGAAATATACGACGAGTGAGGGTTGTTTATCGTCCAATAAAACACTGCAGGTAGAATAGTGAGGGGCCCAATTTTCACGCTGATTACCTGCACCTTTTCTCTCAAACCGATTTTCATATCTCGTTCACTTTTGGATGCGATCGTTCGGCCATTGCGTTTATCTTCGTTGCCCAGCTACATGTACGGGGACGAACTCACCAGTTTTCCAGTTATATCAAGGTGTGTCAGCTTATCGTGGGAGGAGAGCCCAACGTGATGCAGGTCTCAGACGTTTACCACTTTGGTGAAACGCACGAGAGCAGGTATGGTGCTGACAAATCTAGAAACATAATCGGGGTGAACCCACAATCATAGGTATCTTGCGTGCCCAATAGCCGCAACTCTGCACAGCGATTTATGGCGCCTAAGACGACTTTGCCCAAAATGGATCATATATTTTGAACTGCAAACAACATGTTAATGTTACTAAATGCAATGTGCATTGACTCACATAAATACCATCCAAAAAACATAGAGGTTGCTGGTATCTTTACTTTTCAAACAGACTGAGCCCCAAATGTCAAATTAGCACGTTATTCTACAGTTAGAGCTTGGTGTCCCAATCGTCCCCCTGTATAAGGAACAGTTGATCACCCAAACTTAGATAGGGGTAGCCTATGGCTAGTTGTTAAAGCGTTAGTTCCTCAGACTGAAGACTGGTGTCGATCTCTGATATGAGTACAATGTTATGTGAAGCCCCGGCCGGGATATTGCTGGAATAAAAACGGCGAAAAATCACAGTCACACCCCCCTTCCGGTCACTTCATCAACTGAAGTGCGACATACGGATTTGTTTATACTAGTAAATCTTTTATGGAGCCGAGCTGATCATTAACCATACGAAGTGATAATAACGTTTGACAAGACACAGAAACATATATACACTTATCTAAACTCATTTGGAAGGTAAGTCAGTCGTGAATTGAAAAAAAAGCATTGGTTGAATCATTGGGAAGGTAAATCAGTCGTAAAAGCAGAGGTTGAATCATTGGGAAGGTAAGTCAGTCGTGAATTGAAAAAGCATTGGTTGAATCATTGGGAAGGTAAATCAGTCGTGAATTGAAAAAGTATTGGTTGAATCATCGGGAAGGTAAGTCAGTCGTGAATTGAAAAAGTAGTGGTTGAATCATCGGAAAGGTAAGTCAGTTGTGAATTGAAAAAGCATTGGTTGAATCATTGGGAAGGTAAATCAGTCGTGAATTGAAAAAGTAGTGGTTGAATCATTGGAAAGGTAAGTCAGTCGTGAAAGCAGAGGTTGAATCATTGGAAAGGTAAGTCAGTCGTGAATTGAAAAAGTAGTTGTTGAATCTTTGGAAAGGTAAGTCAGTCGTGAATTGGAAAAGGAGTGGTTGAATCATTGGGAAGGTAAGTCAGTCGTGAATTTAAGAGGATTGGTTGAATCATTTGGAAGGTAAATCAGTCGTAAATTGGAAAGTAGTTGTTGAATCATTGGAAATGTAAGTCAGTCGTGAATTGGAATCATGGTGCTTGTAAGTAGTTCCTGCAATAGTTGACCTCTTTTGCATATTATCGCATTGTTGTACCAAGTTTATAGGATTGGTTTATGGCACCAATCAGACTATCTATTATGTGTGTAAATGGCCAAATATCCATCGAATCCATATTTTACACGTTGTTTCAAACTGGAAAAAACTCAGTTTTATTGTGTACAACTGGAGATAAAGTACTGAAAGTAAATATTATTTCGCAGAATATCTTGAAATAACAATGTATAAACTTGTCATTACCATGCTTAGGCAATCTTCTTCAATATGAGGGGGCGGTGGGGTAGCCTTATAGTTACAGCACTCGCTCGTCACGCCGAGGACCCGGGTTCGGTTCACCACATGGTTACAATGTGTGAAGCCCATTTCTGGTGTCCCCCGCCGTGATTATGCTGGGAAATGGCTAAACGCGGCGTAAAACTAGCATCACTCAATCTCCAATATGGCCACGAAGAAATTAGAAATCCACTTTTATTCTATCTTATAATTGTTCTAATGTGTCCCTAAATCTTACCAACCCATTAATTCACTGTCGTTTAAAGGTATATTTACTCAGAACGTCATGTTGAAGATTTATCATCAATCTTCTCTCAATAACAGATTGCCCTATGCCTGGAGCTCTACACATGGTACACACATGTGTCAGGCATATAGCAAGTGGACGTTAACTGATAGATGCTAACCCACTGATACCCTTAAACAATGCCCAGGAACATAAGGTTGTATGTATGTGCGACATGTATACTTAGATGTCTTAGAGGGCACTAATAGATTGTAACAAGGTATTGTGCATTGGGACATTGGGAATGCCTGACCCAGTGGCTTTTATGTTGACTATCTCCAGGCCACATGCACATTTATCATGCCCGAAACTCTTCCAGGATTGGCATAGAGAGAGTGTTTACCTCTATGGCATAACGGCAGCATGACTCGACGCCATTGTGTCCAGGCTGTATTCTCAAAGGTTGATTTGTGCTGAATGGACATTTTCGTTATACTGAAAATTGGCGACGAGGTTTACCTTCATTCCAAGAAAAAACTTGTCAAAGATGACAATTCTTTTAACGTACCAACCTTTAATTTAGGCATGTCTGTAGTAATTCACCGAAGTGACAGATATCACGTTCATATATTTTTTGTGATGTCAAGACAAAATGCAAAGAAAGAGGTATGGACGACAGAAAAAAAGTAATAAAACTTTGAGTTTCTGTTTCAGACTTGAAAGAGACAGAATTATATTTCTATTAGAAACATTAGCTGGGTCTGTGTTCCAATACTGAAATGTTCACAGTTGACATGAACTCAATTACCTTTTCTCCATCTCGTTGAATTTGGTATGTTCCTGTATGTGTCACATTCGACAAACTCATAAGTGTTCCCATTCAGTTCTTGATGTATTTCAGAACACGTACATGAAAGATTTTCAAATTTCGCAATCGCCTAAGTAAGTCATCCGCCCTTAATTACACCATTGGCAAACTTAAGAAAAAACCATTAATATGTTTAAGATGCTCTGGAATTTTGCTTGGGTATGTTGGTAGCCAAGACTACAATTCAGTTTTCAGTCCCGGTCATTGGATGGTTTAAACTGCTAATTAATATCATGAGCAACACCCCACATCGTAGGTGTAATGTAACACAAATCAAGTCGCCGTTTCTTTCCACCCAATCAAAGTCGTCGTCCGTACATACAGCACTAGATTAAGATACCAGGATCTGTAATTGTAACCTGGAATCTCAATTGGGGCCTTGTAGTTTTTTATTATGGTGCATCTGATATTCTTTTGAGTGTGGTGTATATGATACGGTGGGTGATTAATAAGATACACCTATATTTATGTTATAGGATGCCAACATTATCGAAAAAGGACAAACTTTGATTCTAACTTGGCGTTTAAACCCCCTAGAACCTGAGGGAAATACTCTTCAAAATCTCGGAAACATGTTGGAAGCGACATTCCATATTTGTTTTATGTTCTTTTATATTTGTAAGGGGTTATGTTTGAGCATGCTTGCTTTTCATGTATGCATATATCTGTGTGTGGATACGTGCCGGCTGAGTATCTATGTCAGTGTCTCTTAATGCCTGTGATCCATGTACACATACCATGACTAAAACCGTACCGACATCCAGGAAGTAGTGAAGAAGGTAAGATGGCTCGCTACTCCTCTGTCAGTCTCGTCGCAAATGTTGTGACAGGGTCTAAAATTATGCGTTGTTTCTGGAATCACAAAGCCGTATACTGGGGTCATCCAAGGCATAAATAATTCCCTAGTCATCATCAGAAGAACAACATACCAACAACAGTCAACCGGTCACATGTCATGCCCAGGTTAGCTTCATGATCTCCCTTCTCCATCACCTCCAGTTAACGCTATCTGTGACCAGTCACCTCCCCATACCCCGACGTTAGTCCCTCCCCGTCCCTCCCGCTTGCCCATTCGTAATGAGATGACGCGTAGACATGTGACGTCAACTTTAAGTGGATATTTGTTTCACAGCCATCACTTTCGGGACAGTCCCAAGCTTGACTAGTAGACTACACGGGTCTCCTCTGGAATAAGCATGGACATTCGCGTATTAGCAAGCGTGTTACTGATGGTACGTATGCACGATAAGTTGATGTGTCATCAGGGGGTGTCATTGATACCATGAATATGAATATAAGTTTTAATGAGATTAATATTGCCGTAACCCCCAAGACATTCATCTCAAGCCAAATACAACTCGATTATTTTTCAGAACAAATTATGTATTAATTATCAACATATGTTTATTTTGGCTGTAACTTATTGTTACTTGTTTTATTGGGGGCATGGGTGACTCAGTCGTCTATGGCGTCGCAATTCGCAGTGGAGAGTTGCATCCCTAGGGCACGCTAGAAACCTATGATTGTGGGTTCGAATCCCGGTTAGCCCCGATTGGGTTTCAAGGTTTGCTAGGGGCCAATTGTGACCCGAAATACCCACGGGCCTTTTACCGCTGGACATTTGTAAAGATGCGTTGATTAAATCATTTCATAAGAACATATAGACAAGGGTTCCTTAGGCAAATATATGCCATGTTTCTAACATTGTGTTCCAGCGGTCAACTTTTGTAAATAACCCCAAAACTTGTTTTGTAAACTTATAGACAATATATCGGCGTACGCGGATTATATCGATGACTTTATTACAAATTGTAAAATTGGATGCGCAGGAATACTTTTGAAAAGTATATGTTTTCGTTAATTTTCTCAAATTTGAAAAACGTGCCATTCTACTTTGCGGAATGGATGCCACATAAACTGAGGGGCAAAAGAAAGTACACCGTGATTTATTTTTCGTTGAAAATTGAAAGAACTGTTGTTAAATTTGATTATGTCCATTAAATTATCACTCATGCCTGCAACAGTTTGCAAAAAGTAATTTGTGGCTGAGAAATGTTGTGTAAAATGATTTGATTGGTTCAATGAAGACTGGTGTAAGAAATGAATTTGCAACCACATGTTTGCAACCACATGCAACTACCATGTTAGAAATGCTGTAAACTTTTGCCGAGAAAAGCAAATTTATTGATTTCGAAAGATAATTTGTTTGAGATACCCATTAGCAGTTGTGTATTATGCAAAACAAATTTTTGATTTTTTAAGTAATTGAAAGAAAAACCATGTAGAAGTGCTGACTAAGCGCCAGTACAGTTCATTATTCCATGATATTATATATAATATAATAACTTATATGTCCCCCCCTCCCCCCCCAAACAAGCGGTTTACGTAAGCCTATGTCATCGATTGAATCAAGACGTCATCGCATTCCAATGTTGTGCCCCACTCCTTGCCGATCTGTTTCTTTATGCATACGAGTCGGAATTCCTGCTCGGATTGGCAAATACAAAAGAAGGGAATTCGGGCCAAATAGCTTAACTTAAGTTTCAGGTACATCGTTGATCAGGTATCGTTCAATAATGGTAAATAGCCCATTCTCGGCCACTGATTTACCCACATGAACGAGAAACCAGTGAAACCGCCTAACCTGCTTCATATTTAGATCTGTAGTGTGAACATTAAAATTCAGAGTAAAAAATATATAAGAAAATATAAGATTTTGTCAAGAGGGATGACTTCATTTTTCAAATTGTTAACTTTCCCTTTATGTCGAACAATATTCCAGCAGCTCCAGAGCAAGATTCCAGCAGCTCCAGCATTTGAGTGATTCATTATCATGATATAGTCGAACTCGTACAATGGACTATGCCTTTAGCAGAAAGTTCTTGTGCATATAGAAAGGGTTTTTTCAATTTATAAATACAGCAAATTTCGTCTATCTTAATTTATCTTTTTTCATACTCGGAGGTGTTTGGAATAGCACAATCAGGGGTTTGGGTTTTTCACCAGCTATGAGTTTAACACACTGAAGGGATGAGTGCACTATCCATCATCCCGTGATGAATAATGGTTATGCGTTTGTTGTTCCTAGTTTTATAACCGCTTTGGCTATGATATATCTGAACTTCACAGCGTATGGAATGTATTTCAAGGACAAACCCAAATAATAGTATTGATGTCCAGTACTGTGTCACCACCAGAGATAAACGTACTCGTATGATTTCTGTCGACCTTTGCAGATTGTACAAGTTTTTGCCGATTCAGATATAAAAGTTGATTGGGTTTTCATTTACGTCATCATTGATTATCATTAGTTGATTTGCTCTATACTTGCTTTCATGTATGCAGCTAATACAATGTTCACTAATCATTTCACGAAACATTCAGACATATTTAGACATCTGTTTATCTATTTGCCTTCGAAACATAACAAAGGACGAGGTATGATGCAGATTTTGTTTTGCCAACCTTTTGAACGCTGGGAATAACAGTTGGTCTGAAATATTGGAAGCAGTTCGGAGCTTTAGAGGTTGCTTATATGAATTATAATATGATTGTCGTGGATACTATGTGTGAAAAGACACATTACGAAAATCAAACTATGATTAAACCCGTGACCACTATTGAATATTTTTGCACATGGAAACACCTTCATTGCCTACATCTCCCTTGAAAAAAATCACAGACTCTCCATAATCTCTGAAAATTGGCCTTTTTATTCATTTTTTAAAAAACCCCTAAATTTAATATTGTAAGTAAACTGTTTAAATGCTTTAAAAAGTAATATGTTACTTGTCAATAATGTGTCAGGCTTTTCCCTGAACATGAACTGTACAGTTCTTATGGTTCATCTTGACGTCGTAGAAGATACACATGGCTGAGACATATGTGAACGTCGACGACATAAATAATAGTTCGTGGCTTCGAGATCCGGCATCATGGAGGACAAGTATCCATCAACACGGGACGTCACTGTCACAACACTGTATCACACAGGAGGAGGTTTTTGTGCCCCGGGGGACATAGTACACGTTCCTTTCTTCCTTGAGACTATAGGCTTAGGACTCCCATACGCACTATTAAATATTGGGGTTGGTTTATAGCATGGATTGTTTTTGTGAAGGCGCTGTGAAAAGTTCATGGGGTATTGGTTCATTGTGAGTGTGTCAGTGTAATATATTGTCTTCGTTATTTGTTTAGTGAAAAAGTTGTAACACTGAATTGGGGACGGTTGTATTTATTTCATATTGTGTCTTTTATAAGCTCTCTTTATTTAAATTTCGCTTTACAAGTCTCTCTGTCGCTAGTCCAGTTTACATTTCCTCGCATTTTTCTTCTTTTTTAAAAACAATATCTGCTTGTCAGACACACTGACTTGGTTGATTGCCAATCATCTTACTCCGACGGCGTCGTCATCATCATCATCAGTGGTGGTGTTGGTGGTAGGACATTTAGTGGATGTTATTTTCTTGAGTTATTTTGACAACTGAGCAGCCTAATTTGTAGTTGTTTCACTTAGTTTTTTTATTTAGCCAAGCTAATACATTTCGTAAATAATATATAACATTCTCCGACTAAAATAATACCTATCACTATATTCGAATGTGGCACTTTTTCCTATCTAAATAAAAGTACCCATTAGCCATAAGATTTCTATCGTTTATAAGGTCTTACCGGTCTGTAAAGTGTGCTCATTGGTGTCTCCGCCGTGATATCGCTGGAATATTGCCCAAAGCGGCTTAAAGCCATACTCTCTCACTTACTCACTGTAAATTAATTACCTGCTACAGGCAACGCCACGGCCAGAATACAATAACTTCATTCCTGGTGACGCGTGTCCATCATTCCTTTGACAGGCCTGTGTAATAGAAATAGGCCCACGATGTCACGATGTTCTAAACATAGCTGCATGCTACATTCTAACTGATACTTAACGTTGCTGTTCTGTCGGGATGCTGTAAATGTTACTACGTTTGGTGTATTTTATAATCATAAAAAATGTGGAAACTTCTTCCACTCTAAAACAGAAAAAAATGTAATTGGATGAAAACCTGTTATAAAATACATTGTATACCGGAAATTATGATTGTGTAAAAAGAACATGAAAAAAAGTATATGACTGTATTACTAAAATATAAGTTCACGCCCCACGTGCTAATCTTTTTGGATCGTTTACACTGTGTGTGACCTCGCCATGTGGAAATCAACACGGGCACGGGACGTGTGCGGTTCAACATGTTTCTTAATTCCTGGCATGAAATGTGTTCCCGATGACCATCCATTTCAGAAAGATAATATTCTGTTAGCCTTGTCTGTAAACTGCTTTGTTGTACGTTTTATACATACATTGATAAGGGGAAAGTTGGGCTTTTTCAAACTTTCAGCAACTTAAAAAACAGCTTGTTCTCAATTTTTGTTATCTTTGAAGAAAACATCCGAAGAAAATGTACAATCATTTCTTGACGGAACAGTTTCAAAAACGATACATTTTCAGAAATATTCCTTAAAAGTTGAATCTTTTTGAGAAATATCTCAACAATATATCAACCTGTAAATATAATCTTTTCTTTATGTAAATGTATAATACTGTTTTGGGATATTAAACTAATGACTGAATCTGAAGTTTTTTCAGGCAACATAGATTTGATAGCGAAATTACAAATCAGACATTATTCTAAAATAAGTGACTGTCTAATGTTGCGTTGTTGAAGTTTATATTTTAAGGGGCATTGATCGCCCAGTCGTCTACGGCGCCGCAATTCACTATAAAGAGATAAGTCCCTTGTGCACGCCCAATTAGCCCCGATTATGTTTCAAGAGGTATGTCAGTTTCACCAAAGTGGTAAATGTCTGAGATCTGCATTACTTCGGGCTTTAACCCCACCTGAAGCAGACACGCTGTTATATAACTGAAATACTGTTCAAGGCGGCGTTCAACCCAACTCACGTACTCGCTTTATTTAAACTGCCCAATGAGAAAACTGTATTTACTGTGGATCTTTAAAGCAAATACTAGTATTAAAATATCCAGATAGAATCAATCAAGTGCAATGTGACATTGAGACAATCTGATTGAGTATGAATACAGTTTAACCTTCTGTTTATTAATCCAACACTAGATTCACAAACTAAACGGCCTCCGTGGTCTAGTGGATAGAGCATGTGTCCGACAGAGCGGCAGGTTGATGTATCGAACTCATGGCCGCATCGTAAAAGATGTTAAAAGATGCGTACTTCTTGTTATCCTGCCTGGCGCTCGCTTTTAAGGTTATAAAACAGGAACTGGTCAGGTCGGAGTCAGCATAATATATCTGAGTGTGATATATCCATGTTAAACGGGTGAGCTAGCACTTTACCACTTTACCACAGGTATGGGTCAGCCTAACACACACGTGCATGCATGTTTAATTAGTGCATTAAACCACATTTTACAGCAAGTTCGTGTAGTCGTCAGATTTTATAGTTCTAGCCCACTGAGATACCATGACGCAGTTTTACACGAATACCCCACTCAGACATCAATCACAATGCCAGTTCGCTTGTATTAATTTGTATTGTGTTATATCAAGTCTCCAAACGTGTATAATTTTATCAACTTAATAAGGAAATATGAATAATGAAAGTTTTGGTTCAAGAATGATATATTCAATGTGAACCTAATTCTGATCATATGACCAATAAATCTTTTATTCAATAATTACATGTCATGATTAGTGATCCTTTCATATATTTTTTTATCACGATATTTTGCCCCGAATGGAATCTGTGACGGCAGATAACTTGTGATGCTCTCTGGTGTTGAGGTATTGAATTTACTACGAAACCATCTGAAGGTTTACGCGGACCTCTTCAAGTAGTTCATGTACTCACGTTTTTGGAGATAGCATTGTTTGCATGTTAACAAACACATAACTTTTCTTTTTGTTCTTTTGCAGGGGGCGGTGGATGCCATGTTCAACATGCCCGCCAACTTCCCCATGCCACAAGGTTATCCGTGTGATATCATGGTACGTCAAACACAATCATTGCACTTGTAATCTATATAACAGATGGTATAATTCTCACATCATGGTACGTCAAACACAATCATTGCACTTGAAATCTATATAACTGATTGTATAATTCTCACATCATGGTACGTCAAACACAATCATTGCCCCGGTAATCTATATAACTGATGGTATAATTCTCACATCATGGTACGTCAAACACAATCATTGCCCCGGTAATCTATATAACTGATGGCATAATTCTCACATCATGGTACATCAAACACAATCATTGCCCCGGTAATCTATATAAATGATTGTATAATTCCCACTAACTTGGTACGTCAAGCACAACCATGTCCCCGGTAACCTATATACCTGACTGTATAATTGTCATATATTATGGCACGTCAAGCACAATCATGTCTCCGGTACTCTATATACCTTTCTGTTTAATTGTCATATATTATGGCACGTCAAACACAATCATTGCTCCGGTAACCTATATAACTGATTGTATAATTCCCACTAACTTGGTACGTCAAACACAATCATTGCCTCGATAACCTGTATAACTAATTATAACCCTCATAAAGTAATGTAGTGTTTGAGATAGATAGATACTGGAATAATTCCGTTCAATCCAATATTGAACTCACCAGTGTCAAATATGATGTCCGATGCAATTTCCTATTTTGGCTTATACCATGATGTTTCTGTGTTAGTCATCCTTTGCATGTAGTATTTGACAGGTTCCACCGGTCTGGCAGGGTACGCTTACCTATCCAAGAACATATGGTATCATCACTGACAGTGATTTATTACAACATGCTTATTATTTTGTCGGAATCGTACAATGGACTCTGTTTTAGCAGAAATTTCCCATGATTATGGAATGGGTATTGTCGCTTTTATTAACCTATATACTGCAGCTTGCTTTCCTAACGTTGTCATCACGATATTATGATGTCACGACTCCTCTACCTATTTCTCATCGCCCAGGACAAGCAGTGTCCAGGAGACATGGTTTGCCGGATGGTTGCAACCGCTTGTTTCAATCCACCCTGTGATGCTGTTATGGCGTGTGTGGGTAAGACTATATGGTTTGGTATTGTTTGTTTTTGCAGAATCCATTTAGTAGTTGCTGAAACATTTTAGTCAGGGCATTTAGAACAGGGCATTACCGTTACTTCCTACAAACAACTATGAGAAACAACTATAAGATTGTTTTCCAACAAAATATATTGTCCCATATGCCTTTGCAAGAAGTCTATTTAAGGTATCGATGACGCCTAAAGTACTCACGGAAATGGAAAAAACCTGTTTTTTCGACCTCAGATCTTAAATAAATGCAGTTAATATACAAAGTATGTAAATATTCAAACAACTAAATTAGTACTAATTGGACCGTGGCACAAATACAGCGCATCAAATGTTTTTATGCCTTTTTACACGTAAAAGTGTGTAAAAATGTGAATAAAACAGACTATTGTGAAACAGGGCATAACCAGGTGTAATTAGATCAAGGTGACCTATGGCACCTTGACGACAGGTGAGAACAGGTGAGTGCATAATGCCTATAGTCTGTTTCTGCTATGTCAATTTGGACTTAGTTTTATTTTTAAATGTTGAAAGTGCCGACAAATAACCTCCTGTAAAGTACATTTTGTATTGTTCACTGAGATCAAACCAGCAAATCCAGACTAGTACTTTTCGAGTTGTTTTGTTATTTCGTATTTACAGCTACGTAACACTTTGTGTCGATTTTAAATTGAGAAAAACAGGGTTTTTTTCATTTCCGTGAGTACTTTAGTAGTAGCAGTAGTAGTGGTAGTGGTAGTAGTAGTAGTAGTAGTAGTAGTAGTAGTAGTAGTAGTAGAAGTAGTAGTAGTAGTAGTGGTAGCAGCATTCGCATCAGTATTATTAGTATTAGTAATAGCAGCAGTATACGTAGTTGTGGTAGTGGTAATGTGGCGGTGGTTGTTGTAGAATAGTAGTAGTAGCAGCAGTAGTAATAGCAGTAGTAGTAGTGGTGATGGTTATACATTATATAGTAGAATGTAACATCGTATTTACTGTAATTATCGACAGTGCTTGAAATATACAAATTGAATATGTCATTAAATGTGACATCTCTGAGTACATGTATTCTCTGTACTCGTGTTGACCAGACCCACCTCAGACGGCACTGGCTTCATGTCCCTCCGGGTTCCCTGTGATGGCCGCTAACCGGCGGACGGAGATGACCTGCACCCCCGGGGCACGGCAGTGTCCGAAGGAGTCCACGTGTTTCTTTGATGCCTCCGAAAGCACCGCTGTGTGTTGCTGGAAAGGTATGACATGTACATGTATTGATCACATCATTCACATTAAACTTGTGCCGAAAAAGGACATTTATTGATTTTTTAAGATAAGAAGTCTAAGATAACGATCAGCAGCTGTGTATTATTTATAAACTTAAATTATATCTAAAAATACGAAAACCCACGTAGAAGTATTCCTCTAGTGCTGACAGAGTGCAATACAATTCATTTTTTGGATATAATATGACATAACGATAGTTTCAACTGAAAATCAAAGATGATAAAATCACCTGAAAGGCATAGTCTCTTTTGCTCCTCAGTATATAACGGTTTTACTTCATGATTGCATTATCGCCATCTTTTATATGACTTTTATATGAGATGATAATGCCCTACAACCGTAGTATCTGGAACAACACATTGTTTTCTGAAATCAAACGGGTTTTTTTAAAATAATATTGAAATACTGAAATTTTTCAGTCTTGTTCTTATCCATTGTAAGTAAGTGAGTGGGCTTTAGTTCCCTTTGAACCGTATCTCAGCGATATCATGGTTTGTCAGCCTCATGTGGTCCTAAGTAGTCCATTGTAAGAAGCTACTCTATACACATATATGTTATTCCATGGCTACGATACTCCCTGATATATGTTGCAGTGTACAAACAAGGACAGTGCCCCAAGCCCGAGGGTCCTGGGTTCTGTGCAAGGATGTGCCAGGACGACGGTGGTTGCCCTGGTGACCAGAAATGCTGCAGCAACGGATGTGGAACGCAGTGTATGGACCGCATGCCCCTTATGTCAGACACAAAGCCTGGCAACTGCCCCATGATGCCACCGACAATAAATGGCCCCTGTTCCTCGATGTGCATGGGTGACTTCATGTGTGGAGGTATGATGAAGTGTTGTCCCAGCTCGTGTGGCCAGACTTGTATTAATCCACAAATGGGCCTTCCCGGAATGACGTCTCTTGGAGGTCTTCCTTCAGGTCCGTCTCGGAACTTCCTCGGACGCCTTCAATCCCTGTTCAGTAATAAAAATCCTGGAGGAATAATTCAACCTTCTCAAATGGATTCATTTTTTCGTCCAATGAATTCTCCCCCAAGGCAAGCATCATGGCAGCAACAGCAAGCTTCTAACAGAATGCAGGCACCTATTCAATCTGGATCAATGCAACAAAACCAAATGCCAGGAATGCCACCGGGTTATAGTCAAGGTATGGCAAATAGTCCCCAGCCTTTCCAGTCAGGGTATTCAACAGGACCTTCACCAGGATATCCAAACAATATGCAAAATGGATATCCTACTGGACTTAAACCAGGTTTTCAGGCATCCCAACAAGGATATCAAACAGGATCAAAACCAGGGTACCCAACAGGATCTCAGTCTGGATTATCTTCAGGAACTCAATCTGGACCTCCAACAATTGCTCCACAAGGGTTCCAAACTGGAAGTCAATCCAATTTCCCGTCAGGGCCTCAGGGAGGTTTTCCAATGCAATCGCAGCCTATGTTTCCACCAGGATCCCAGTCAAGGTATCAAACAGGATCTCAACAAGGATATCCCATGATATCCCAGCAGGGATTTCAAAACAGATCCATATTCTCGCCGATGGGATTCCTCGGGGCTCAGATGGGATTACCAACAAGATCTCAACCGACATTCGGTTATCCAAATAACTTTCAGCAAGGATTCTCAAGACAACCTCAACAACAGTTTGCACAACAAGCTCAGACAGGAGGGGTTCAATCGAATCAGCCTTCTGGATTTGTCCCCGCCACAGGGTCTCAGTCAGGAATACAAACAGCTGCGCCATCAGGAATTCAGCAACCAAATCAAGTTGCTCCCCAAACTGTAAGCAATACACAAGTACCCGATTCTACAAACCAACAACCGTCAACTCCCAAATCAGCAGAACCAACATTCTTAATAGACATTCAACCTAATTCCAACATAGACCAGCAGACTGCACTTCAGACAGCCCTGGAAAGCATCATGGCTAAAAATCATCCCAAGCCTAAAAGCCAATCAACTGAACCAGGTCAACCAGCTACAACCTCCACTGAACAACCAACAGTACAATCAACAGAACCACCAACAGAAGTACCCACCAGTCAAGCAACTTCATCAGCGCCGACGTCAACGGGTACAACATATCCCACCAAAACTGCAACTGCAGGTGAATGGACACCACAGACCAACAGCACCGCTGTTGATATATCAGATACAACAACGAGCACATCAACAGCTGAGCCTGCAACATCGTCTACCAGTTCTCAAACCGAAACAACTAGCGACCCTGCCCTAGCGACACCTCTGCCATCATCACAAAATAGTCCAGTTTCATCCCAGGCAAGTTCAGCTGATCCTACGCCAGTAGCCCAACTTACCCAGCCAGATAGGCCATCGGCCACCTTCACAGCTATGCCACAAAGCGGAGGACCCCCGAAGCCAGGCACCTGTCCTGTGATGTCTGCCGTGGGAACATGTCAGAATACGTGCATGGTCGATGTTAACTGCTTGGCAAATTACAAATGTTGTAACATTGGACCATGCACTGTATGCATGCACCCCGACATGACCCCTACTACTTGCAGCTGGGAAAAGAGGATGATTGGTGGATGTTAGATTCTATTCGAACGATGTTACTCCTGTACATAGACCGGTCCTGCTGATCCTGGTGTCTTGTGGGTTATGCAAATTAAACTGCATTTCCACTGAAATGATTTGGGTAGATGTGTTCTTTTTGGTAGTTTGCTTTTGTTTTAGACTTTTATCTAGCATTATGAATATAACATGTGTACACGCCTGAAAAATGTTATCGATATAAATCCCCGTTGTTTAGGCACTTAATCAGTGTTTGCTTTTATTGTGTGCCCTCGCATGTGACCAGATTCCATTTCCCATAGCTGGATGTCTTTGCTGACAGTTCAGGAACATTCGGTTTGATAATTTTGGAGTGGTCATGCATTTGATCTTGGGCCTGTATACCTTCACAAGTGACATGAACTGAGGGGCAAAAAAAAATTTATCCTGTTTTACCGCTTACTAAGAATACTTTTACATGTGGCTTTATTTTTTAAAATATAATTATATTAAAAACTGATAAGATTAAACACATTTGCATAATACACACCTGATGATGTGCATCTTAGACATCTTATCTGAAAATCAATACATTTGCCTTTTTGGCACAAATTTACATAATTTCAAACATGGTAGGGGTCGTGTGGTTGAAAATTTATTTCTTACCCAAGTCTTCACTGAACCAATGCTACGGATTACTTTTTAGAAAGTGACAGTTAAATAGACATAGTTAACAGTTCTCTCAATTTCCAAAGTCGGATTACTGGTGTCCCCCGCCGTGATATTGCTGGAATATTGCTAAAAGCGTCGTAAAACCTCACTCACTCACTCCAAAGTCGGTATACTCAGTATTGTTACTTAGTTATTAATATCATCATCAATATTTCCGTCATATGAGGTTGTTATGGGCATATCGTCTACAATGTAAAGCTGGCTTTGCACAACAGTACTGCTGTCCATGTATGAGGTGGTTATGGGCATATCGTTTACAATGTAAAGCTGGCTTTGCACAACAGTACTGCTGTCCATGTATGAGATGGTTATGGGCATATCGTCTACAATGTAAAGCTGGCTTGGTACAACAGTACTGCTGTCCATGTATTTCAAAGGCAACAAGGTCATTCTCGGGTTGAGGCATACGTTATTGTAGTCCCGTACCGACATTTTAAGTGCCCGGGCGACACACGTCACTCAGACTTGTCGTTGAAGATTTTCTCATTCGTGAGTCTATGTCCTTCTGTATTTATGAGATGTGAAGAGGGCATGTATATCCAGTTTTATACAATCTCTGAAGCTCAATAAAATGTCAATGAGTTACTTTGTTCCATACATATTTATTCTAGCATGCCATTGGTATGATATTGCTGTATGTATTTGATGCATGTTAGAAAACACAAAGTTAACAGTCATCGAATTCTCTCCATACTGAGATTACAATAACTATTTACAATGATCTCACCTTTCCTACAATGTCTGTCCTATTAAAGAGAATACGAGTTTACCTCAAACATTCAGTAAGGTACAAATGTTATTTTTGTTTGTTTGTTTAACGCCGCACTCAGTAATATTCCAGCTATATGACGGCGGTCTGTAAATAATCAAGTTTGGACCAGACAATCCAGTGATTGACATCATAAGCATCGATCTACGCAACTAGGATACGATGACATGCATCAACCCAGCAGAAATTCTTATCAGGACATGCTGCGACCCGTGAAGATCCGGGGTAGAATGGGTCTTCAGCAACCCATGCTTGCCGTAAAAGGCGACTTTGCTTGTCGTAAGAGGCGACTAACGGGATCACTTGATTGTCTGGTCAAGACTCGATTATTTACAAACCGCCGTCATATAGCTGGCATATTGCTGAAACAACAAAAAAATCATCAATGAAAGGTCTAGTTGCCAAATTATCCATTGTCTAACGTTCCCATTTAGTTAGATACATGTAAGAGTTCCCAGGGGCCCACGTGTCGTACGTAGCGTATACATAATGCGTATGATGCTTGCAATATATATTTACTTGTTGTTTAACGTTACAGTCAGCAATATTCTGTGGCGATGGCCTGTAAATAATAGAATCTGGGCCAGTGATTTATGTTATGAGCAACGCCCCAGCCCGTCTGGGTACGATGACACGCAGTGAAACAAGTCACTGAGCCTGACCTCCGATCCATTTAGTCGCCTCTTACGACCAGCATGTGTTGTTCTGACACGGAATCTCCGCGGGGAAAAACAGTATGTCTTACTGGAAGATAGATGAGCTTGGGATATGTGGTCTCGCGACGTCACATAGCTCTAATGGATAATACTCTGCGGTTGTATCTCGCCATTGAATGACCTTGTGAGCCTTCCCGCTGACCGTCTGCCCTCGACAAGCTCTTGTGTGTATTCTGACACCGGCTCTGAACTTTAAGGTGAACTTGTGATATTTCGTGACCCCTCTGACCGAAGCTCGTCTTGTCATAAACAATGCATGTTCGTGTAGATTCTTAAAGGTGATCACCCAGTGCTCCAAAACAAGGCTCAGATTATCGCGTTGTGTTTTGCATCTCTGTGTTTGTTCTACACACAGGTCCTAAAAGAAAATAACGTACATGTGGTTATAATCCTCCCCACACAATATATACTCCGCAGTTACATGCCGTTTAAAGCGACTTTGCTTGTTGTAAGAGGCGACAAACTGGAACGGGTGGTCAGGCTCGCTGACTTGGTTGATGCATGTCATCGTAGCCCAATTGCGTAGATCAATGCACTGGATTGTCTGGTCCGGACTCGATTATTTACAGACCGTCGTCATATAGCTGGAATATTGCTGAGTTCGGCGTTGAAGAACAAACAAACAAACAAAACATCCACCATGTCGACCGTAGGTGGGCCAGACACTAATGATCGCTGGTTGGAATCCTAGATTCGCTCTGATCACGTGTCCAGGTATGTCAGCACCATACCCTGTTCGTTGGTTTCACAACTTCAGGTTTTCCTCCCACATCAAACTGAAACGCCGAGCAAACTGAAATACTGTTTAAAAAAGCATCAAAGAGGCGTGTCACCGGGAGTCTGACGTTCAATTCTGACAGCACGAAATGGAACGAAATGGTAAAAGATGTTTCCAATCATAAGCTTGTCGGAAACACAACATTTCTGAATAAACTTCCCCTGATCATCAATACACCCAGCTGTAGATTCACGAACAGATATCTAACAAATCATACGGTATGAAAATATTCTTCCTGGTACAAAACTTCCGCTTCCACAAATGATTTAGAATTAATGTGTCACTACCAGGTCGTAGCCACGGTGCTTTAAAGGTTGAACTTGATTTAGCATGCATGGTCATTGCTTCAGCAACCACCACAAACAGGCTTCCAAAATACATTTGTTTGGTACTAGGCATTACTTAGAATTTGACGGATGACAAAGTAGACACAAGTTTCGGATAACAACTTCTTTAATTACTGTAAAGCCGACGTTTCGGTATAGATCCTTATATCGTTGTCAAGCAAGACTGAATGAAGAACATGGTACAGAATATATTTAGTAGGTGGGGGGTTAACAGTAGAGGATTAACAGTGACAGCAATTGAATACATGAGTGGGAAAACATGAGAAGGTACTTTACTATGTATATTCTGTACCGTGTTTCATTCAGGCTTGCGGTCAACGTTACATGTACATTGAAATGATGTAATTGTAAATCCCTACGATTCAGAAACTGAACTACCTGAAATACAGGCCAAGCATGGGTTGCTGAAGACCTATTTTAAACCAGATCTTCACGGATGTTTTCCTCCCTGACACACCCTGATATTAAGCTCTTACTTAAAGCGTCGTTAAACCCAAACTTGCCGTTAGAAGACCTGCCTTATGTGGCAGAATTCAGTGTTATGACGAGACATTATGATTGATCTACACACAAAGGGCCATTGTACCACACAGCACTTAATTGACAGATGATTGATATTTCCTTCTTCCTGATTAGCTTGAATGAGACTTCTGAAACAAGGACATGTTTTTTATCAGCACAAGTTTTTATTGTTGTCCTGTGTGGGTGTTGGCTGGAGTATGTGGTTAAGCGCCAGTGTTACATATCATAAGTATTTCTTTCTTATCCAAAATATCACATACTTCTGCATGTTGTCAAAAGGAATGTTACCCCAGCCTTGTCCTGTATGGAAAACTGGCTTCTCAATAAAGGGAAAATAAACATTCATATTTCAAAAGTAAACGTTTTTGGATATACCTTATAAATCAATAATCCTGTAAACACCATAATAACGGTGCTGAAAAAAACGTTTCATTAAAAACAAAAGAGTGAGTAAGTTAACGCCGCTTTGAACAGTATTACAGATTTATCTTAGGCGTGTCAACTTGATGTGGAGGGAAAGCCTGAAGTGGCGCATTTTTTATACGTTTACCACTATGTTGAAATCCACGAGCTCAGGTATGGTGCTGTCAAACCTGGAAACAAAATTGGGAGGAATCGGTATTCGAACCAACGCAACTGTGAGCAGCTGTGAAGGTAGAACCACAGTGAGACACTTAAATCATTTATAATATATATGAAGCTATATTATTATTTTTGTTGTTATAATTATTATTTTGGGGGTCTAATTGATCCATACCTTTGACCTGGAACGTGGAGTTTCTGTCAATCACTGGTTTGCCTGGTCCAGATGTTTACAGACAGACATGAAAAGTAGAATAAAGCTACGGCATTAAACATCATTCACCTTTGACTTTATCCCTGGCAATACAGTCAGTGTTTTCAACTATACTGTTTTTTGATCATATGAAGATGTCATTTTACTGACGACGAGAGACGTATGAACTGTCTTAACATCGCTTCTAAGCACAAAGCTATGTCGAACAGGCACCTGCGATACAAAGCTATGTCGAACAGGCACCTGCGATACAAAGCTATGTCGAACAGGCACCTGCGATACAAAGCTATGTCGAACAGGCACCTGCGATACAAAGCTATGTCGAACAGGCACCTGCGATACAAAGCTATGACATGGCTATAATGGTATGGTGCGGTTTGGGATTTCAAATTCAAGACATTTGCCTCCACATACAAACTGTCAATGGGTGACGTCATAAATTCTCCAAAACGCAGCAGAAGACTCTGATAGTGAATGGTGTCAAGTTCTCGGATATATGTTTTACCGAGCTGAACGTAAATGAAGCAACCATAGTCCAACCAAGTTTAGACCTGATAAAAGTTCTAAAGATATGCAGAATTGTTTCTCCATCTCAACCCCATTTAGCATTTGATACCACCTTAAGAATAACAAGTGCCTTCAAGCATCTAGCTTTAAGATTTTTTTATATTATGTATAATAGATAACTTACAATCAAAGGTAATGCCCCCAAACCTGGTTTCTTTGACCAGTTTTACTGGAATATTATTCAAAGCCAATTGTGGATCTTTGTGTAATTTCCGTTTATTGCAAAAAAAATGAACACAGCAGAGAACTTAAGAGTGTTTTCAAGAGACCATTTATGTATTTTATTGAGACAAAGCTGCAACTGTCTCTCAGTGGTATTCATATTTGCTCCACGGTACGATATATTAAAATCACCAACAAATAACGAATCATCGATATTATCATTTAAAACTTTTGCAAGGATGTTGATTTTTTTGCTAGAAAGTGTCACTGATAAACTACTGCCCTGAAAGACCCCCAATTTCCCGATCATATATCTCAAGTAGTGTGGAGCCCATTATAACTTTATATAAATTTTCTATCTTCTAAAAATAATCAGATAAATTCCCATGTTGTATCTTATGCCTTCTCTAAATAAAAAAGAAGATGGATACAACGTATTTTTTATTAATAAAAACATTATGTACACATGACTCTAATCTAACGAGATGATTAATGGTGCTCCTCCGGAAACCGGACTGAATATCAGTTATCAGATTACTAGATTCCAAATACCAGACAAGACGCCCGTGGATCATTCATTCCATGGTTTTACATTTGCAACTTGGGCGGTAATTAGAAGGATTCGTGTGATACTTCCCTGGGTTTTGGCACAGGAATGATAGTAGCCTCTTGCCAAGAAGAAGGAAGATAACCCGTTGCCAAAATATTATTGAAAATGAGTGAGTGAGTTGGGTTTAAAGCCGCTGTTAACAGTATTCCAGTTATATCGCGGTGTGTCAGCTTAATGTGGGAGGAAAGCCCGAAATGATGCAGGTCTCAGACGTTTACCACTTCGGTGAAACTCTAGAGCAAGGGGATGGTGCTGACAAACCTAGAAACATAATCGGGGCGAACCGGGATTAGAACCCACAATCATAGGTTTCTGGCG